AGGCATAGTGAAAGCCAAAAGCGCTCGTTCGAGAGTGGTCGATTATTCATCTCTTCTAGTTATTATTTTTGCCATAGCATATCCTTGAGGTTGCCCGGGGAATAGTCGGAAGTTCCGAATCGACTGATACTTTATTTTCATGATTCCCTGGATAGCCAGCACAAGAACCAAGTGACCATACTATAAAACGCTAAACCCGGGTTTCTGGAAAATTAAGCAGCGTGGACTAGTACTGTTGACTCTCTCCTCCGCAGAGGTTTGAACGTTCGTTATACGCCGGTAACCGTGTGCCTGCACTTACATTATTACTCAGCGGATCCTCCCCACCCGAAAAAAAGCCCGTGAGCATCTGCGGAAGAGAGAAAAGTGTTGATAATCTTCCCCGTTGGGTTAGTGGCCTGCCCGTGAGTGGAGAGACACTGAGAGAAAGTGCCTCAGCTAACCTCATACCCAAGCGCTCTTTGGGTTCGCCACCAATTTTCCCTCTCAGTGTTTGCAGGGGAGGAAAGATTGAGGGGGCCTAGAAGGCTAGCCTTACCCTAGTCTGATTCTCAGCGTACGGAGGAGACCTTCTGAGATCAAAGACCAGGGTTGAGCCCAGGCCTATCTAACCCCCTCCCCAACACATACGAAGAAAAGAAGACAATACTACAGGGATTTTATTTGTCAAACTTCGACTCTCTTTAATTTGTATTAAACCTCAGAAAAATTTCAGCGGTACAAATGACCCTCTCCTCATTTTATATACAAGTAGGCTCAATAGATAACGGTGAAGAGGGTCACAGGGTGTAAGGTCCCGAAATGATTACGGCGTTATCTCTTTTGAAGATATACTGGGGAGCTAAGCCTTCCACGAAAAATACAGCGAGCGAGGTAATCACAGAATTTGTTACTGGATGTCACAACAAAGTTAATCCAAACGCATTTATCAGTGCAGAAAATTATACCTCTTGGGTTAGCACAGAAAGGGGGCTTCGAGAACTCCCCCTAGTGTTAAGGATTTTACGACTTGACAAGAAATGTCCCTGTTACAGTAAGCAATTGTTCTTGCAACTTATCTCGTTTTATGTGGCGCCGTTGCGAGACAAGTTACGAGAGATGTTTCCTAGAGTGACGACCCCTGGAATGAAGAAAACATGCCCCGCAATGTTTTCGTTGCAGTAGTGAGCGTTGTGAAAAGTCGAACTTGATTCTACGTTATGCAACGCCGCCTGCGACAAAATTAAACGTTGTGACGCAACGTTCATTTCAGAGGGTGTCACACGTAGCACAACTTGTAACGCAACAAAACTGCGACAGGTGTAAGAAATATTGCTAGTGTAGTGGGTAACTGACCTGTTGTTGGGTTCCCCACATAATGTAACCAGCTCTTGTGGCAGCTTGATATTCTTCAATCAACTGCTGCACAACCTCTCTGTAAAATGAAGCAAAGCGGCAAGGCACAGTTTTAGTCTAATGCACCGTTCACACCAACTAAATTAGTTTAACTAAAACAGGATAAGTTTTTCTTTTCTGTCGATTTCGCTTTGCAGTCATTTTGCTAACATATTTTACTCGAACATGTGTTTACTTTGTTTAGTTGTGGGGTATGCATGGTATGAACACCCTTGTTTAGTTAAACCACTTTTAAACATGTTTAACTTGTTGGTGTGAACAGGGTATAAGTATCTTAGAGACATAAATATCTCAGATTCGAGAAATGTTACACTGATTACCCAGAATTTCCCGATTCGCACTAGTTGGTTTTACCTTGTTGAAGCTGCCGCATTTTTATTGGTTTTAGACCAAACCTTCACAAGAAACCGTTTTGTCCTCTTTTTCCAACTTTAGGAGTGCATACGTACTCGAGAAGGATTCACTTTTAAGAAAACTTGCACAGCGTTAATTTCCAATCAAATCTCATTCTGAAAGGTCGGCAGAGAAGTTTGGTAAACCCATTACAGTCTGTAAAGATGTCACGCGGACAAAAGTGATCGAAGCAAGCGAGAAGTTCTACCACGTCTATTTCCATTTATTTTAACCACAAAAGACAGAATGTTCATTTGAAAGAAAAAGAAAACAACTGCAAAATCTCAGTGCCTCCAAAGAACGGTATCACTCCCGAGTCTTTTTAATACTTTCTTTGGCCTAGTCCAAAAGTCGTGCTACTGCCCTGCCGAACTCATATGAATTTGGCCCGGCAGTGGCACGACAAAAGAACGGTAGTGGTTTCAAACGTCGAATTTAATTCAGTCGAGCCGAAGGTCGAAAGAAGTTTGCTTTACTGAAGACGATTTTAAATGCTAGAAAGCAACGGCAGCTGATGCTGCAGACTATGAATTCAGTTTGGCACGGGCCGAACTGAGTGGTTTTAAACGTCACGCCACTGCCGTGCTTAGGTCGAATTTAATTATTGAATTTAGTTCGGCAGGGCAGTTGCACGACGTTTAGAATAGGCCTTAGCTTCAGTCATTGCTGTTATCGCGTCTCATTAATTTCTTACCTTGATGCATCAAGCTCGTCAAAGTTGTCCTTGAATATCTCCTCTTTTTTGTAATTTTCCAAGAAAGCTTCTCTCTTCCGAAGTTTATCATAGAGTCTGCAGTTCTTCTCAAAGACCTGTTGAAAACCACAGTATGTAATTTCTTTTGTTATGAAGCTCAATAATGTTTATAGAATTTAGTATTTTTGGTTTGTGATCATCAATTGTTTATTATTTTGTAGTTACCACGTTAGTCTTATGATTCTAGGGCCCGACTACTGGCCTTGGTCTGGATCTCCCACAAAACACCCTGTTTGAGTTTCTTGTTCTCTAAACTGTAGTTCCTACAGATTGATTGTTTCAAGAACTTTGTAGTTCGCTTCTGAAAGTCGCGTGAAAGTGTTTGGGTTTGTATTCTAAAACGATGTTTAATCCTCCAAGGCCAATTCGCCTGTGTGGTCCAGACATAGGGCGCTTTCCATTCGACCAAAAAATTCCAAAAAATTTGCTCTGCCGCAATTTCTTCTGTCCCCTCTATCTGAATTACTGAAGCTGCCCCCTGTGGCAGACATTTTCACTGGTTCCACCAGGAACTGTAGTGAAACATTCGACTTACAGTTGATATACTGGTGTGGTTCGCCAACATCAGTCCGCTAACTCTGTGTGCAGTCTGTACGTATGGAGACTTTCTAGAGAGGGCAACCTAAACACAGCAAAAATAACAGAACAGACTGAGACACTTGAAAATTTTTGTTACAGTTACATAAAACAGGATTATGTGTATTGCAGTTGTGTTCCAAAATGAACGTACTAGATTAAAAGACTATCTATGTTTGCAGTGTTTTATTTCTACTTATACGTAAAGCTGGTACTGCAGTAAAATACATTGGGCCCCTTTAAAATGTAGTCTTGTTATTACATGTACCTGAATACTGGCAGGTCCCCATGGAATAAATTCTGCAAGTTTTCTCTCCCGGATACGCTGAAGACTCTTGTGAACCTTGAATGCCAAAAGAACACCATTCAGACAATATTAATAATATTAGCTACATTTTAAGCAGTTTCGTTTAGAGCCGGGCACCGGGCAAATTGACCAGCTGTGAAGACAATTTGTGTCAGGCTAGTTTGACCATCTAGCAGAAAGTTTTTCTTACAAAGAAGTTCAGTTCAAATAGTTTAGCCTGCCTGTGAAAACCAGTTACCCTCCTGATGAAAACGCTAATGAAACCCCTGAGTTTTATAGGGCTCATTTCTTAACTCAATGCGCCCAACAGCAAATAAAAAGATGACCCTCAGCAACAATTGATTAAGGAAATCACCGATATGAGGACTTGTTAATTTGAGAACTGTAATTAATTTGAGAACATATGCTGTCGTTTGATCAGTCGTTTCTCTGCAAGATACAGTTTACATCGAAACTGCTTTGATACACACTTTTTTCTGCCAAGGAAAACCGATATTCCAGCAAAATGTTCTAAATAAAAACTCGTCAGCAGCATGTTTCATGACTTCCTTACAAACATAAGGTTGCTACTTGTCACTATAAAACTCAACCAAACACTACAAGCAGGCAATGACACAGACAAACATAAACTCTCAATAAAATCACATGCTGTGTTTTGTTCAAACAGTAATGTTCATCACTGTACCTGTGTGGGGTCAACCTCGCCCTGAATGATGTTGAGAATGGAGATGTAACAGTGGTTATTTTTTCGGTCTCGCAGGGTCGATACCATTACATTTTTGGGCTAAAGGAAACAAAAAACATAATATGCAATAAAATGAGAGTAGCTTCATTCATAGCAGCTTCAATATTTTCTTCCAGACTAATACAAAGCAGATTTCAAGCTTGATTCATTTCTTTGTTTAAAGGAGAGTATAAAATGCACCATCCTCTTTTTTGAATGGCTTCTCACCTGTAACAATCTTCTCATGACATCAAGCACTGTTGTTTTACGAATGTTAGCCACCTAAAAATAAAATTTTAATTAGAAGAAATAATCATGTTCAAGAGTATACCTGAAAATTTGTATCATAAAGTATAGAGAAGCTGGGGGGTAGAATGGTCAGAAAAAGGAATTAATTGCTTACGCCAAGTTTACACACTGCTACCTGGATGTCACCGGTACCATGAAAGTCAATTTGCCAACTTTTATAGACATGTAACACAAGGAAAATGACTAGGCTAAGTTTCACCAAACCAAGGCTGTTGTCTAAGAAAAATTATGAGGAGCTCAAAGGTTCCTAACCATGATATCCTGGGTGCCCAGCACTTAAGGTTATATGAAAAAAGTAAGTTTTTCCAGTCTACCAAAGGCAAAAGTGAGTCACCTGTGGCACCTGGGCAGTTCTAGAGCACAACCCTGTAAACCTAAACTCATTAACTATAACTCAACAACTGACAGCATTGCTACAATATCTAGTCAAATCCTTTGAAATCCTGTTGAAAAGTTATACAGCACTAAGGAATTAGACACGAAGCCATTTCTTGTTATAGCAGAGCTATTCAAATTTCAAGATTTGAGAAATTATAAACAGCATATATATACATGTAGCAAAGTAACAGACATTTAGACTTGTAAGTAAAATACCTTTTGATCAGTAGTAAGTGGAGTGTAACCAGTCATCAGAAAATGCAACCGTGGAGTGGGAATTAGTGATGCAATCAAACCAATGAGATCATTGTTCATGTAACCTGAAAAAAAAGTTGTTCATTTAGCATGATTTGAATCCATCGTCTTGCTTCAACTACAAAAGAACAACAGTTCACTTTGAGCCATGAGGGAGGAGATTCATTTGCCTTGGCTGCATTCTTATGCCACAAATTTTTAAACTAAAGGAAAAAAGGAAACAGTAACTTTACGTGTTACTTTTGCATCACTTTGTAACTAAGTCTCTTTTTTTACCAATCTATCCCTTACCTGGATATCTGAGAGTCGTTGTACTGGTAGCCATTATTGTGGATACCTGGAAAGAAATTGTCAAATAGAATCTGTATTCAGAGAATCCACAGGTGGCATTTAAAAATTACATTTTCTTCTTGTTCACAAAAAGTGAAACCAATAAACCAGAATTTTGTAATGTTTAAAACCAGTTGGAGAGGCATTTCTTGGAAAGCTAGTGATTGCCTACATAGCTCTGCACTTTGATAATTAACAAACAAATGATAGAAAGTTGTCTACACTTCTTTGACCCATGTTTGCTTGCTCCAAATGCTGTCACTACATTCAATTTTTTTTCTTTTCTCTGTTGCATTGGATGTGATCTGGTGGGTATCCCCTGCATGCAGGTATAAGGAATCCCAACATAAAATATTCAAAATGTCTCTGCCTACCAGTTGATTCACTTGAGAAAATGTGGGATTCTGAATGTGAAGCCTGTCTGCAGCTATTCTGTTTAGAGCTGTATTGTCAAGTACAACCTTCAAAGGCAACAAAGAAATTTATTGTATACATGTAGTTATGTAATACTATAGGTGAGATTCGACAGACACTCATCATTTATCAAAAATTAGATCGTGCTGTTCTAGAAAATATCCCCACCTACCACTGGCCCATCAAAGGTCATTGGAAATGCAGAGGGTATGGGCATCTCAAAAGCCAGAACATTTAAAAGAAAGTATGAAGCTACACTGAAATTTCCAAAAGGGAGGAGGATTCAATCAAAAAAACCTTCTGAGCTGAGGGTATGGATTTTATAGAACAACAAATAAGACGTTTCTATCATACAAGTTTCTCATGGATATGTCACTTTACTTCTGACCAGCTTAAGACTACATGAGGCAAACACTTGTAGCTTTGTCGTGACCTTTTTTTAATTTTCAGTGTTTCATTTTTCTATGGACCATTTTCTAGACCACTCAAAGAATGTTTCATGAAGAGAAATTTATTTATCTATTTGAATTAATATTTAAGTTTTATAAGAAGTTTACAACCAATTACCTTCTGCTAGTTAGAGTGATGTAACAGTTCTTGAATTTTGTACAAGTAGTAAGTACACCTACCACACAATCTGCATTTTGTGTAAGACGTTTGAGCGTGAGTATGGAGTTATATGGCTGTACTACAACGTCACTGATGTCTTCCTGTAAAACAGAAAGACAGCTCTTTCAGAAATAAAGTGACTGTTGGGTTGTGATTATTCTCAAAATTAGGTTACATCAAAAATGTATACAGAAAGACAGCTCTTTCAGAAATATAGTGACTGTTGGTTTGTGATTATTCTCAAAATTAGGTTACATCAAAATGAAATAGAAACAACCATAAAGGCATCTTACTTGCTGTGGAAAAACTGAGTATGTTTGAATCAACTTCTTTGGAAACCTGTTGAAAATAAGAAAAGAGATAATAATAACATTCTTAGTTTCTTTCATCTTTACATCATTTTCAAGACGAAACAAACGCAAATCACTACACACACAATTTTTGGTAAGCATCTTACAGGTAACTGAATCTCCTGGTTTTGACAGAAATATTGCATTATTTTCCTTGACACAGCTATTTCTCAAATAGATCCCAGGATTTCCACTTCCTGCAGGTTATATGTTGATTGATAGCAATGAAATTTAACACTACCTGTCGTTTAGTTTTTCCAAGAGGTATGAGCCCATTCCAGATCCTGTTCCACCAGCTATTGAATGACACATCACAAAACCCTGAAAAAAAAGCATGACACTCAAAAACCATGTTTTTAAACTTCATAGACTGAACCTCTGATGAAACAATGTATTTGGATGGACATAAAAAACTTGTTTTGTCAAAAAAAAAAAAAAAAAAAAAAAATTGTGCTTCCAGCTTAGAATAATGTACGTAAAAGAATATACTTTTACAAATTAGTTTTTTACGCTTAAACATTACCAGCTAATGTGAGGATATTTAGCACGAAATTTGAAGGCTGATGTAAATATTTTAGTTCTATTAGACTTGTAAGTCTACGGAAACTGGCGCCGCTACGCAAAGTATCAACAAATCGTGGTTCATACAGGGGACCCCTTAACACTGGCATGAACTTTGGCACTATGATATATCTGTCTGTAAAACCTGTGTTGATGATGAAAAGTGTTGATTTAGCAATAGACAGAGGTTGAAAGTCAGCTAGTGAAATCATTTATTTAAGGTCTATATATATTAAAGCGACGGCGTCGAACGCACTCTCATAATCCTTGATTACTACTAGTAATATCGATATGCACTTCGCGCGAGAAAATCAATGGTGTACAAGAGCATCGACATAGACATATAAATATTCCTCTCCCTCTAGAAGAAAGCTTACTTTAAAAAGTTTCCAGACTTTCGAGGGTGAACATCAATTGCTTGAATCTTAAGGGTTGAGCACATCCGTATATGCAAAGCATGCGTGTAAAGCACTCAGATATCGGTTACACAAGTCAATTCCCAGCACATTTAGATTATTTGTTATATACTTGACAGCTGTTTCATATACTGACACACTACGATGATCAATATGCGAGCTTCACATTTATGTTTTCTATTGATCAGGCAATCGCCTACTGGTTTCTAAAATTTCTAAGTCAGTTTTCGTCTTACTGCACCAGGATGTAACACATGGCACTGGCAACGGCAGCGTTTCCACACGTGTTGGAGTCATCAGGATACCCTCCTGTACCAAACCCGATTCTGGAATCACAAGAACCGCAGTCATTTTGCTCGTTATTAATGATGCCGATTCTTGCTTTCGAATGGGAAGAAGAAGTACCCACAGCATTGAACCCTTCCTTGTTACAGTTGATCTGTAAGGAGGCCTGTGACCCAATCAGCGTCTTCCACGTGTTACGTCCCAGTGAGGTAGCGCGGTATTGGTCACAGCGATCAGTGAGTACAGAGAGTTGGCCTGCTTGTTGATGACAATGAAGTTAATCTGTTGCCCGATCTTCATACCAAGACAGATCTTGGTGAAAGATGTGTTCCAGTAGGTCGGTAACTTGGTCTCCTGTGCATCAAACCCAGTCTCCCCTCCGGGAAGGTTGTATTCGCTTTTATTGCTCCAGTACCCTGAGCCATAATGAAACGTGTTCTGAAAAGAAAAATGGCGTAAAATATTCATATAACAGTATGGACCTTACTGAATTTTAGTTTAATTGATAAAGCTATTTATTTATATATTTATTTTATTTATTTATTTATTGACAGGGAACAAACTATTGTCTGAAAGCAACTGGTCAGTAGAGTCTTTTTTACCATATGATCACCACGATCGCTGCTAGGAACTGAGGAGCAGGGATGGAGCAGTGGTGGGAGCGCTTGCTTCCCACCCATGTGGCCGGGGCTCGATTCCGGCCCGGTGGATTGAGTTTGTTGCTGGTTCTCGTCTTGCTCTAAGGGAATTTCTCCCGGTTCTCCGGTTTTCCTCCCTCCATAAAAACCAACATCTCCAAATTTTAATAGAGAACCCGCATGAAACCAGTTAAGAATGATGTGGCTTCCTATCTAAATATTAAAATTAATTAATTAATTAATATTTTCTGTACATATTTATCCATTTATTTATCTATTTATTTATTTATTTATTTGTTTTATTTATTTATTTGTTTTATTTATTTATTTAGCGTTCAGCGATCGTTCTGATATGGATACTACCCTCCATTGATCGTAGTGCACGCAATTATATATTGTATGGAAACCAGCCTTTACGAACTTCACACAATACTATAGAAATAAATAATTTCTGTACCGTTTATTACAAAAAAAATGTGGTCAAAGAAATTTTACAATTTATGAATTGTGCAATATCTGCGAAAGAAACGTTTGTGAACAATCGAAAATTATAACATTATAAAACGCGGCATTGAGGTTCATCTTATGAGCATAACTTTCCAAAAAACGTTCGGTTTCTTTCTTCGTGCGAGTCGTGATAAGGGAGCTGTAATCTCATCAGTTATCGATCAGTTAAACGTGGGCGATCTGTCTGCCCATTTCTCGAAAACCATTAAATTTTGCAGCGCTCAGCTCTCTAAGAAAAAGCCTGTAAATGCCATACCTTGTTGCCGTCAATCTTCATGACCGGCGTCCATCCTCCATCTCCACATCCAAAATCTCCCAAGTGACAGAGAACAGCAGTTTGTTTTGAGTCTATGTGGAGCGTAACCAGCTGACTCACCTTCGAGCTGCTGAATATAAAAATGTCCAATACTAAGGGATTAATATTAGACTATTTGGATACTAGAGGTTTAGACAGACAGTTATCAGTCTAATCGATATTTAAGAAATAGAAAACATGTTCTGTGTTTCTATCGAGAGAGAATTTGGGAGAATGACAAATCTTGTGGGAACACGTGCCGACAGGTAAGTGTTTCCACAGTTTTCCGTATTATTTACACAGCTGATATACACAACTTTAGCAGTTCTGGAACAAACGCTCGAAAAAAGTCCGTTTTATCAAACTACCGCCTCTTATAGTTGGCCACTAAAGTTTCCCCGATTGTTATTGGTTTAAGGTGATCACGTGACAAAAGAATGTTCATTGGCGAATAGACACTATCTGCCCATAGTGCCAGTCCAAGAATATACTCGGACGGATAGGACTCCTCCTTGAAAATTTTTCTGTAAGCAAGCGAGCTTATAAAAAAAAAAAAAAAAAAAAAAAA